GATCCAAAGAGTATGTCATCAACATAGACTTGCAAAAGAAGATAATGTGATCCAGAAGTTTTAATAAACAAGATTTTGTCTACTGACCCTCTGCGAAAGCCTTCATTAATGAGGAAATTACTCAGTTTTTCATACCAGGCTCTAGGAGCCTGTTTTAATCCATATAAGGCTTTATTAAGTTTATACACATGGTCAGGATACAGAGGATTTTCAAAACCAGGTGGCTGTTCAACATACACTTCTTCTTTCAAGTCACCATTCAAAAACGCGCTTTTGACATCCATTTGATAAAGTTTAAATCATTTCGAGGCAGCAAAAACACATAGCAGTCTAATTGCCTCAAGCCTAGCTACTGGGGCAAAGGTTTCATCGAAATCAATGCCCTCTTCCTGATCATAGCCTTTAACAACTAACCTAGATTTATTTTTAGTTATGATTCCAACCTCATCGGATTTGTTTCTGTAGACCCATTTAGTACCTAGGACATTTCTATTAACAGGTCTAGGCACCAAATCCCACACACGAATTCTTTCAAAGTTACCTAATTCATCCTACATAGATTCTATCCAAATTTCATCTTCTACAGACTTAGGTTCAAGTGTAGAGATGAAGGCAGTATGAATAAAGGCTGGTTTAGATCTTGTGACCATACCTTGATTGAGATCCCCAATTATTTGTGAGGCTGGATGACGTCGTTGAATGTGTAAATGAGCTTGTGCCTCCGTTGTTGTTTCTTTATCTTCAGCTGTACCATGTCCTGCACCTTCATTTTGATTCAGGCTGTCTTCTCGTACTTCAACTGTCTTTTCTGTTAGACCAAAATCATCATCCTCTTCCACAGAATCTGCACACTTACTAGGAGATTCATCAAATACCACATGAATGGACTCCTCTACTTTGTGAGTCCTTTTGTTAAAAATTCGGTATGCCTTGCTATGGATTGAATAACCAAGAAATATTGCTTCATCAGATTTTGCATCGAACTTCCCTAGATTGTCTTTAGTATTTAAAAGAAAGCACTTGCAACCAAAAGGATGAAAGTAACTTAGATTTGGTTTCCTTCCTTTCCAAAGTTCATAGGGATTTTTATTAAGTTTTGATCTGATAAGTGCTCTATTAATGGTGTAGCAGGCAGTGTTAATGGCTTCACCTCAGAAGTGCTTTGGTAAACCAAAGTCATTTAACATAGTTCTCGCAATCTCGATTAAGGTTCTATTTTTCCTCTCCACAACCCCATTTTGTTGTGGAGTTCTAGGAGCTTCAAAATTATGCGAGATACCTGTCTCATCATAGAATTTATTGAACTCTTCTCCAATAAACTCTCCCCCATGATCACTTCGAATACTGATAACACTTAACTGTTTTTCATTTTCGACCCTTTTAACAAAAATCTTAAGGTTTTGAAAGGCTTCATCCTTGTTAGCGAGAAAAAGAACCCAAGTGAATTTGGAAAAGTCATCTACTATGACAAAGGCATAGTATTTCCCTCCAAGGCTCCTAACATTGCTAGGGCCAAACAGATCTAAGTGTAACAGTTCTAATGGTTTTGAAGTTGAAATAACTTGTTTGCTTTTGAAAGAAGACCTAGTCTGTTTGCCTTTAGTACATGCTTCACAGAAGAATTCCTTTTTACTGAGAATTTTAGGGATTCCAGACACTAGTTCAAAGTTTACCAGTTTTGACAAGGTGCCTACACTGATATGTCCCAACCTTCTATGCCACTCAATTTGGTCATTTTTGTCTACTGATACTAGACAGGTTTCATTGAACGCACTTTTATCATTTAGATTAATGCAATACAGTTTGCCTATTCTTTTCCCTGTAAATAGGATTTTTCCTTCTGACAAACTTTCAACAATCCATCTGTTGGGTTCAAAGATCACCCAATTTGAGTTCCCACAGATATGTCCTATGGAGATTAGATTATGTTTTAGGCCTTCGACTAACATGACATTGCTAATTGACGGATTAGATCCTACTTGACCTTTACCAAGAATATTTGTACTAAAGTTATCACCAAAGTAGACTTTACCATTTTTGTTCTTTACCAGTTTGGTGAAAAGCTTTTCATTTCCAGTCATGTGGTGTGAGCATCCACTATCCAAAATCCAGTTGTTGTCCTCCATGCTCACTTGGAGACAGACCTAGATAAGCAAAGACTATTTAGTTTTAGGCACCCAAACATGTTTGAATGCTTCATGATTTATCCAACTGTTTTTAAACTTTGTGTGACCAGTTTTCAGATTACACGCTTTACTGGTTTTGATTTCCTTAGCTATCCTCTTTCTGCAATTTGCTATGAAATGTCCCTCTTTATGACAATAGAAACAACTAGTTTTGGAACTAAATTTATGATTACTTTTGTTCCTTTTATTTTGGAAATTTCGAACTTTCTCAAGCTCAATCTTGTTCTGAGATAGTTCTCGTTTTAACTTATCATTTTCTTCCTTAATTTCAGTCTCCTGAGTCTTCAGGAGGACCTTTTCTTTGATTAGTTCTTCACAACTTGCACTGATTTCTTTGAATTCTGTTTTAAGCTTTATGTGTTTTTCTTTAACAGTTTTAAACTCAAGTTCAATTTCCCTAATAGTGTCTATCATTTGCTCATCTTCAGAATCAGAATAGTAGTCTGAAAATTTTACCTGTGAGGCACTTGCATCATCATCACTTTCTCCAACAGCCATGTAAGCTTCATATTTGATGCTGGTCTCACTTTCATCTTCATCATCTTCACTGCAACTCCATGTTGCAACATAGGCTTTTTCTTTTCTGATTGAAGGGCATTCTGCTTTGATATGTCCAGCCTTGCCACATTTGAAGCACCTTGATTGAGCTGCTGGCTTTTCAGTCACTTCTTTTCTAAACTTTGCTCCTGATCGAATCTGCTTATTGAAGTCTCTCTCGTCTCCCTCTCGTGCCTTGTTGTTGAAAATTCCTTTCTTTCTTTCCTTGCGCATTTTGATCAGTCGTGCCACATGTTTGCTTAACATGGCTAACTCATCATCTTTCATGTCTTCAAGATTTTCTATTTCTTCTTCCTGTAGGAGTGCCTGGAAGGCTATGTTCTTCTTTTCTCTTCTTGGTTCCTCCTTGACTTCCTTTTTCAATTTGTCTTCATGAGTGATCAGAGACCCCATTAACTCATCCAGACTTAATTTTGTTAAGTCCTTCGATTCCTCAATTGCAGTGACCTTGGGAGTCCACTTCTTTGGAAGTGCCCACAAGATTTTGCAGACCAAGTCACCACTCGCATATTCGATCTCCAAATTTCTCAGTCTGTTCACTATTGTGTTGAAACGATCATTCATCTCCTTGATTGACTCTTCAGGCTTCATGACGAATGATTCAAATTTTTGTTTAAGCTTGTTTATTCTTGAGATTTTGCGTGTGATGTACCTTCGTGAACAACTTGAAGTTTATCCCACATCTACTTGGCATTCTTGCACCCAGTGACTCGATGATACTCTTCGGTACCCAGAGCGCAGTATATCAAATTTGTGGCTTTAGAGTTCAGCTGAAAGTTCTTCTTATCCTGCTCTGTCCACTTTCCTCTGGCTTCTTTCACTTCGAGCGGACCATCACGAACTATGTTCCACAAATCCGGATCAGTGGAGCCGATGAATAGCTCCATCCTGTTCCTCCAATATCCATAGTGCACTCCTTCAAACCTGGGTGGACGCGTATGGGAGAATCCATCTGCCATGAACACTCTGTTTCCATTTCTCTAGCTCGAGTTCATTTTCGCCGGAGGATGTTAAGCCTGCGTCTGTCGGCGACCTGGCTCTGATACAACGTGTTGGATCATTGAGCCCGAGACGATTCTTCCTAAAAGATGCTTTAGCCCTTCGTCGAGTTTGTTGATTTTCGATCTGTACCAAATTTCTTTGAACTTCGACAAGAACAAGTGAGATCAAGATTCTAGGGATTTAACCAGAAATGAAAGTGTAAAATAAAACGTTTGGTTAATTGAGATTCCGAGAGAGTTCGAAATGTTTCCTTTCTTAACCATGGGCTTTGAACACAGACCAGGCCGAGGTCCCAATGCTTATAACCAACACAGCCCGAGTCCACTTCAAGCTTTACTTGTTAAACGTTCAAATTCGCTACCAGCACTGCGTTTTGAACCCTCGTGTTTTTTACTTCTACCTTCTTCTTCCTTGAACCAGGCAGCATGTTATGTTTCCTACAAAATCTCAGAGTTCAAAACAGAGTAATACACAATTAATCAAGAACAAAAACTAAGTAAAAGACCACACACGATTTTTACTTGGTATCCGGCTTGCAATCACGATCCTGTGACTTCTGACAATCCACTAACTTGGTGTTTATGTTGTGATGTTCTTCGAACAGAGATTTCACTCTTTACTATCTAACCAATCTAACCCAGCTATCCTTCTTTACAATGTTTCCCCAACACTGCACACTTGATCTAAATTCTCCCCGAACTAGTCAAGCACTCTTTTATTATCAAACTACACTTAGCAAGGTTCCTTATGCTTTCTCTCGGTCAGTCTGATCTCTAGAAAAGTGCCTTCGTTCATCCAGAGTCCAGCTTACATATACTGTCTTCTTTTTCAACTGTTGGAGTCTTATTGATTCTGATTGCCACAATCTGTGCTTCCTTCCATCTTTGTCTCCATGACAGCTTCCTTTCTCACTTTGATTTCTTGCCCGCCCCTTTCCTTCTTTGTCTTTAATTTCTTTGAACAACTCTTACCTTGTTTGCTATAGAGTCGTTTGACTAGCTTCATAAAACATTTTCCTCCATAAAAGAACAGAGAAATTATAGATTTACATAATGTCCCATCCATATAATAAAAGCTTTCTAATTTGTATGTGTCATTTCCCCTTCTCTCCATCCCACCCATAGCTATGTCCACAAACATATTACTCCGGCGAAACCTCTCCCTAGCACTGCCTCCAACTTGTCCTCTCCCCTCACCTCCACCGCGGTCAAGAGCCCCTCTGCTCTCGAACTAACATGTCTTCCTCAGCTTCAGATGGGAAGACGTCAGAGGGAAGTTCATCAACCATCTCTATGCCTGACTCCAGGGCCAGAAGGTCAACGCCTTTATAGACGAGAAAAAGCTGGCGAGAGGGGAGGTCATCGAGAAGTATATATTGACCGCGATCGAGACGTCGAGATTCTCCATGGTCGTGTTTTCCTCCAGGTACATCGACTCGGAGTGGTGCTTGGATGAACTGGTGAAGATAGTGAGGTGCGTCCAGAATAGGGACACGTGGCGATGTCCCGTTCTTCCACGTGTCCCTAGACGACGTGGCGGGCCAGGCCAGGGTTTATGAGGAGGCATTCGCGACTCATGAGAAGGGGTTTAGGAAAAAGCGGGTTGAGTAATCGAGGAAGGCTTTGAGAGCTGTGGCTGGGATTTTTGGATGGTGTTTGGGCGAAAATGAGTAAGATCAGACGAGTCCACTCTTTTTTTAATTTTCCATTCCTTTTTTTTTCGGCGACTGCCATGTGATTATATATCATGTTTTGTAAAAAATTCGAATATATGGTTCATGGTTAGGACCCAAGAAATTATTAAGTACAACCTTTGAGTTTAAAATAGATTAAGAATATAGTAAGGGACCAAAATTAAAAATTCAATCTATAGTATTTAATTTGCAGGAGCAAGAATTAATTTCTTTTTTACAAAAGATAATCATAGATATTGATCACAAAAATAGATAATTACATCCTGGAGTTAAGCCAGACTAGAAAATCAAAGAAACGATTCGTAGTCAGGTACAAATGAAGGGTCTTCCTAGCCACCAAATGGGTTATCCTATTACTACACCGACCTACAAATCGCACAACGAACCCACTCTGAATTGATAAGCACTACAAAATTTCTGCAAGGAGGGCTCGAATTCGGTTGTCTCTAGTATCTGACTTGATGATTTTATCAATAACCACCTTGGCGTCACCTTCCAGTTGTACTGCCATAAACCAACGCCAGACACCAGAAAATTGCCTCCCGAAAGTTGAGTAATTCACCAGTCAAAGGATCATCAATCCCGACAAACTGAAATCCTTTAGCTAAGATAACCTCCTAAGCTTGGTACATTATAATCATCCCTCCACCCGAATGAGACGCATGCTTGGTTGCTCCATCCCACCTACATATTAATGGACAAGGGAGGAGATCCCCCAAAGGTTGCACGGAAGGGGTAGACAACCGTTGCACCCTCACAACTAGCAAACACATCCATTTCTGGTATTGCTGGTGGAACAACCTAATTAAAGTCGGAATCCCAAACTGTTTTCCCTCAAAGACCACCCAATTTCGTGAAATCCAGATCCTCCAAAGGACATCAACAACTGCCATAAACAGTTGAGGCTGATGTATAAGAATCATTAGTCTTTTCAGGAAGAGGGGAAAGTATGTCGAGGCAACCCTTGACCAAGATATTCCAGTCCCGCAAATCCTATAAGGCCCGAGCCATTATGCAATCAAGGAACAAGTGTTCCATTAATTCTGTTGCAGCCCAGTAAACCAGACAACATGGATGGACCTCCATCCTTCTCAATTAGAGCTTATGTCATCGGGAGGAGCCGATTGAAAACTTTTCAGAGAAAGACTTTAAGCTTGGGGGGATAGGAGTTTCCCACAAATGAATCCAGCTATGCCTATCCATCCAACAAGCCAGGGACCGCCATCGACCCTCCTTTTTATCTAGCAAGACTGCCAATTGGTAAGTTGATTTTACAGTAAAAACCCCATCAGACGTACCATGCCAGACCAGACGATCCTCAACATTATTCCTCCGGAGAGGGATTTCTTTAATAGCTTGACAAGTAGACGGATCAAACCACTGGCTAACTTTTAAATCACTCCAATGTCCTTCCTCATGGCAAATAACATGTGCAACCACAAGTTTACCATCTTCTGGCAAGACCTGAGGGTTAAAAGTAGGAGCTAGAGGGTGCAACCGAGGTACCCAATTGGTATGAAGTAGCGGAGCTGACCGACCATTCCCAATTTGCTATCTTAAACCTTGCAGCAACAACTATTGGCCAAATAAAATGCTTTGCCAGTCCCAGGAAGGGCGTGACCGCGCAGTAGCCTCAAGGAAACATCATTTCGGAAAATTATTCCCTTTGTATACCTGGGCCAGATGTAACATCCCACTACTTTGAACTTGGAAAAAAAACATTTCTACCCCGGGGTACAATTAAAAAAAAAATCTCAAATAACACAACTTTAAATAAAATGTCAAACTCAAATATCTTGATATCTCAAATCCACGCCCTAAACACGTGGGGAAAACTTAAATTGTCCAAAAGAAATGAATCTCCAGTCTTTAACTCTTAACCATAAAGTCTTAATAACTTGAAGAAAAAAAAAGTTCTTTGATGTTTACTCTGACGCCTGGCTCGACATCTGGCAGCAATGATGGTGTTGAGCTCCTCTAACTTGCTGATCACGGACTGGCTGGTTAGGTTTACCTCCTCTACAATCTGGTGAGTGAATTGGGGTCAGTCTACGCCTTACTTAAACTTGAAACGCCTACGGTTATTCTCCGGAAGCCCACAACAAACTTGAGAAAGTGATTTCTACTCTCGTCTTTCAAACTTTAACTCTTGAAAAATGTATTATTTCGTCATTTAGCTTACTTTGGGGCCCCTACCTCGTCTTAGCTGGCGCCACCACTAGCCTTACTTACTTTCCTAAACATGACTACCCTCACAATGGGGTGCCCCTCAAATGGGTTTGAACACCGCGGAACGAATCACCATCCGGTGTCAAATTACGGCGTGACTACCGCGGAACGTATCACCATCCGGTAGCACACCTAAAACTAAGCAATGGAAACCGCGAAACTCATCACCGTCCGGCTCCACGCCTGACCAACTACCGCGGAACGTATCACCATCCGGTAGTGATCAACTACCGCGGAACGTATCACCATCCGGTAGGGATCCATCTAGCTAGTGGCTAGCTAAGCGAGGTTAACTTATTCTTGCTTATGACATTCTCTTGCTCTTATCACTTTAACTTAATCGTCAAACGAAATGTAAAAGCTTTAATTAAATACTCAAAGCTCATAAACATATCCTTCAAACTATGAATCAAAAGAACACACTTCATCACCCATAAACATAAGCAAGCACACAATTTCACATAAAACAACTTCTTAAACACGCAAGGCAAATACTTGAAAAAAAATACGTAAGGCGTAGAATTTACCCCCTTAACACTCACCTTCTATCCGTCGAAAACAACTGTGAATCTGCTCTAAAATTTCCAAACTTGCTCCAATTAAATTCTCCTCGTTCTCACGATTCCACAGGCGCTGACGATTTCTCGTTCGGACGTCAATTGATCGAGTTATGACCAAATTAAACATTGTGTCAGTTTAAAAGTACTAGGTACCAAAACTGTAATTTTCGAGTCAACACAGTTGACCACGACCTCTCTGGAAAAACATTACACATTTAATCCTCTAAATTCTCGAATTGCCAAGACTAATACCTGAACTGTCCGATTTGCGTTCCAAACTTTCGAGGCTCGTATTTCCCTCGTCCGACGTCGAAACTCAATTCCGTCAAGACCGCGATGCTCCTGGGATCGTCCTCTTCGCGATGATAATCACCACTCAAAGAAAATTCGAAGTCGCCTACGCCGGGGTCGTTGTCGGAACTACGATCATTACGTGTATTCGCCGAGTTAATCGGGGTTCAACTGTTGAGCTTAGGGACGGGAGAGGTCAATAACCTTACCTCTACAATATCACTAGAAAACTTTGTCGTCGGTGAGCGTATTTTGATTGTTGGAAGGGACAAGTGGAGGTGCTCACTTGACGCCGCCGCGCGCTATGCTTCTCACTACTACTGCTACGGGAGGGACGCACAAATGGAAGGGCAGAGGTTTTCTTTCCTTCCTCAAATTAGGCGTTGTTGTTGACGTTTAAAGGAGATGGAATTGGGAAGGCAATTTATTTGGGCTAATTAACTTGGGGAAGTGGAGAGACGTTGGGCATTTGCTGGGTGTTTAATTGACAGACACAACTTGGTGTACTGTACAGAGACAGAATCCGAGGGAAAAGGAAGGGTTATGGTGATGATTTATGATGATAATAACAATAATAATATTACCAAATACCAATGTTATTATTATTATTATTATTATTACTTCTAATATGTGGTCAAACCCGTCGTACGTAACCGTCGATCTAATCGTTCGGTCGATCCTAAACCCAAATATCGGAGTGTTACACCAGAAGGGATGTAGCGATGTAGGATCATTCAAGATGCGCCAGCCAATCATGGCCAGGAGCGCCTGATTAAAATGCTCAAAATGGCAAAAATCCATCCCTTCGTCATGCTTACTACTGCACATATTCCATAAGGACATTCATCGGATCTTCGATTGACCAACCTCCACACCTCACCAAAACCTGGCAACGTGCTTGTCCAAAAGGCGACAGAGCGAAAGGGGAAGTTTAAAACATGACATAACATGTAAAGGCAAGGCCAGAGCGATTGATTTTATCAGAGTCTCCTTTGCTGCCCTAGACAGAGTCCTCTGCTTCCACCCCTGAAGACGACTAACAACTTTTCTTCCAAGTAGCTAAATGTCTCCATTTTAGATCGGGCGATCAGGGTAGGTAACCCCAAGTATTTATCCTATACCCCAATAGCACCAACACCCAGAATCTGAGCAAGGAATTCTTGGTCTAGTAGAGCGATATTTCTGCTAAAGCGAACCACTGACTTAGCCAAGTTAATCATTTGGCCACTAAGCTCCTCATATTCAATTAACACTGTGATCAGATTCTCACATTCCTGAAGAGATCCTCTGAGGAATAGGTAAGAATTATCGACGAAGAAAAAGTGCGAGATTCGAGGAGATCCGGGGGCAACCTTGACCCCTTCCAGCTTCCCCTCCGAAATAGCTATTCGCAGGAGGGAAACAAAACCCTCCGTGCAAATCACAAACAGGAGGGGTGAGAGCAGGTCCCCCTGTCGATGTCCTCTAGAGGGAGTGAAGAAACTCTTAGGTGTGCCATTCATTAAGACCAAAAAGGAAGACGACCTGAGACATTCATGCACCCTGTCATGGCAGGTTGAGTTAAACCCCATTTTGTCCAACACCGCAACGAGAAAGGGCCATTCGACTATATCATAGACATTTTCCATGTCAACCTTTAGAGCCATGTACCCTTTCTTCCGTCGCGTTTTGTTTTCCAAGTA